CCATAGAGGCTTCATAGGCTATAGCCAACCAGAGGGCAAGAGATGAGCAACCAACCTCAGTGACAGGGCTATTATAACTAAATCTTTCTCTTCAGCCTTGTGGAAACATCTGGCTTTGCCCTGAGATGCTGCTCTTTAATTGACACTGGGAGGGGTGGTGCCCATGAGAATGATTTGGCGAATATCTTTGATATGACTCCCAACTATAGGATTCTTGAAAGCAAAGATGATCATTTCCATAGCTATATCTTACACAGCACTGGGTTGTTTTAAAAAATCAATACCTTTATGTTGGTGACAAAACAAAACGAAACAAAATAACATTTATTTTTAGCCTAACGTTCAGGTTTTCCATGATCTAATTCCAGTTTACTGTTTCAAACTTATTTCTCATCATAGATTCTTGGCTCCAGCAAAACTTAACTAATGTTTCAAGTACAAAGTTCAGATTTCCAGCCATTATCCTAGAGCTCTTCTCAGTGACCAAAATTATTTTTTTCAACTCTCTATATGCCTAAGACATACGCAGCCCTCATGGACTATCTTGAATGCTATTTCCTCCAAGAAATCCCACACCTCAGTAGGAAGAAAACCTCCCTCTCTTCCTCTCTCTCCTTTGCAAGTTCAAGGTCAAACAGAACCCTTTCTGAACTATTCAATAATTCCTCCCTTATATTATTGTTGCTTTTATACACCATACCCTCCTACTTTTCTGCCAGTTCCTTGACAACAATTTCTATCTATGTCACCTTAGTATGCCTCTCCTACAACAGTTGTCTTGTACACAATGAACACAATACATGTTTGTTAAAATAACAAATTTTAAACTTTTTAAGTTTTTTAAATCTATGGCTTATATAAATTTTTTTGATGACCTGGTACCTCAGCAGTAAATGCAACTTTAACAAAGTAATTCTTCCTCTCCCTTTCCAATTGTATATATTCCTGTCATAGCTTTCTAAGAACCCAATCAGATATGGCAATAAATCTGTCATCCAGTATCTGGGAAATCCTAATAAAGGCAAACACACATTTGGATGATGATGGTAATAATAATAGTTATACATACATAGCACTTATGATGTGCCCAACACTGATCTTTATATACACTAACTCATTTAATTCTCACAACACACCTGTGATGTCATTACAAAAGAAGAAACTGAGGGACAAAGAGCTTAAGGAATCTGCCCTAATTCACATAGCTAGTAAGTGGCAGAGTCAGGATTCAACCCCATGCAGTCAGGACCCAGAGTCCATGCTCTTAATGCCACTCAGCAAAATACACATTCCCCCACATCACTCAGAAGAAGGCCCAAGTAGAAGGGATGATCCCTGGCTTGAAGGGCACAACATCTTCTGGCTTGCTCCAGAGGGTAACCCTTGAACCCCTCCTCAAGGGTGAATGGAGAGCACTCTAGAGCAAAAAGCATATGAGGGATCAAGGACTCTGCTGGGTATTTTTTAAATGACATTTGTGCAATGAAAATTGTAGTAATATATCTCCAATGTCATTATATAAGGCTTTTGGTTCAGGGAGATATAGAAAATGACGTGTTTTGAGGGTGTTGCTTTGTAGTAGCCTCAGAACCAAATTTTCTAAAAAGTAAAGTAGAATATATGAGAAGACTGGAATCACGAATATCCTTACTGCACACACCCTGCTGTGAGTGACTCTTTGAACAGAATTGCTGCTTAGACTTCAAACCACCACTGTGACCTCAAGAGGTTAGCAGAAAAGAGAAATTCTTTGGTTCAGAAACCATAACATGGGTATAATGCCATTTAAAGGCACAAGATTTAGAACTCAATGTGGCTCTTTGGGAAAAGTCAGTCAATTCTCTTCTGAAAAAGAGGAAAACTCAATGAAGTATAATGCTTTTAAATTCCAGATTAATACACAGACCCGGTAGTAAAATCTTTTTTCGCCCATAAAAATAGATGCTATGTTCTTAAACACCGTTAAATAAATCATGTTCTGCAACTGACATGTTCGTACCAGACATTTTTGAATTTGTGACAATCTTTTCAGTGTGAAATGGCAGATATCTGCTAGTGCTCTGGAAAAAGAAATAGTGAAATACAGGCTACATGAAATGTGTTGGGTCCATGGAGAGCAAATGATAGAGCAACTGGAAGAACCCAAAGAGATTCGAGGGCCAAGCCAGGCAGCCCCAGTCCAAAGCAGTGGATTAAAACCACGTATCTGTAGATTTGACTGATCAGGGGGAGAGACTTCTGAAGAGATTATCCTAGAGCAGATGCCACAGGTATCTATATAAGCTTATGACTGAGCTAGGGGAAAAAGGTTTTCATTAAAAGGAAATTTTGAAATCACGTCTCACAGTACAATATTTTACGATGATCCCCCTGCCCTCCTCCCCTCAATTCATTAATTTTTGGTTTTGATTATGTAACTAAAAAGGGATTTGCTCTTCTTTTTCTGAAGCCAGGAGACAGAAATAATAAGAGAAATAGTTATTATTGTTATAAAGACAACAAAATGAAAGAGGGGTGGGGAAAAGGGAAGAAAAATATAATTTTAGTTTGTATCATTTCTTACAAAATGTATATTTCATCATTGCCTTCTCTCAGAAAAATTTATCAAAGCAACACCTTGCTAGTGTTCTCTAGTGTGTCATTCTGACCACGTTCATTTATATTAGTACAACATTTTGTTACTAGAGTATTTGATATATGACTGAATCTCCAATATTCATGGAAAACATTTGCTCAATACAACAAATGCTGTTAGACTTCCTTTAATGGATGGATTAATACAAGAGTAAGTACTGGTAGAAAAAGAAAAATAAATTCTAGTCGCTTTTGGGGGAAAAAGAAAACTATTACTATATGATGACTTACATGATGTTCACAGCCTCAAGTGAGTGATTTTATCATTCCAAGCTGTTTAAAATAATCAGCCTCATAAAACTTTAATGACCACCACTTTCTCACTCTGTATTTATAGCGAAGCCTCCTCATTCATTTACAAAGAGACAGACTAAATTCTCAAATACTTGCATTATTCAAGTCTTACATGGCATGAGCTTTCTCTGTTCCAAGTCTGAAATGTGTCCAAGTCAGTTTTAACCTCATGATACAAACTATACGACTTTTCTATACAAATTTCAGACTCAGACTCTTGAGAGCATTTAAATATTGTTGATTTTTTAATCTAATTTAATTAACTTACTATACTGAGTCCACTGCAATGTAGCTCTACTATTATTCCTTGGGCTAAGAGATTACTATATAATTTATTGGGATGATGCCAAGAGCATACAACTAATAGATTATCTATAATGAGCGAAGTGGAAAAGCGTATTCCCTCTGCACAGGTGGATGGTAGTATTTGTGCCAAATAATATAACATTTCACTCCCTACTTGGTATTTTGTGGTACGCGGGCCTCTGCGCAGGCTCAGCGGCCATGGCTCACGGGCACAGCCGCTCCGCGGCATGTAGGATCTTCCCGGACCGGGGCACGAACCCGTGTCCCCTGCATCGGCAGGCGGACTCTCAACCACTGCGCCACCAGGGAAGCCCCTACTTGGTATTTTAAACATGCATTTTGTTGTCAGGCTCCCTGACAATGGGCTGCATGGGTCAAAATGGAGCCTAGCTGATAATTCAAAAGGTGAGTTAATTAGGGGTTGCAGTTTGGAATGTTATCAAGCTGCTGCTTAGACATCTATCTGCTTTCCATACAGGTGTGAAATATTGACAGCAAGTTTTAGAAGTGTAATGACATTTTTACCTTTCACTTACTTGCTTAAATTTTGATATGACTCATACCTTAAGGAGAATAGAAACTATATCTGTTCAAGTAGCTATTTACCATGAGAAAGCACTTGGGGTGTTCAAAAGAAATGTAATATTAAATCTATTGACAAAATATTCTTGAGACCCCATACATTCTTCCATTATAGCACAAAGGTTGATTTTGAAGTACATCAGTCAAAATTAACCATTTATACCTTAGTACTTTTCATTCACAGGTTCTAACACTGAAGGCAGATCACAATGAATCTTTGTTAGTTTATAATATTATATATTATATATATTATATATTATATCTTGATGTATATCTGGTAATTTATCTGGGTGAGAATTAGGTGAAAAAATTTAGCCACAACATAAGGGGAGAGAATTCTATAACATACATTTTACCATCACACTTCTAGGAGTTCAGTTTTTTAAATGAGTGTATTGTGATTAGTGAGCTTTAAATACTGAGTATCTAGGTATCCTTTTAGAATTGCCCTAATTTTTTCCTAAAATACTAGGAGACTATGCATAATCAGAAGATAAAGCAATTAATTGGGAAAATGGTCTCTATATAATTGTTTCCCTTTTCCTCATCTCTCCCAGTCAGAATCAGACATCAGCTTCAATCTCATGTCCCAATATTGTTCCTTCATTTATCTTTCAAATAAAAGGTAACTTTGCTAAACCCGTAAGTCTTATATTTGTAGACTTCTATGAAATTCTTTACATGTGACCCTTAAATATGTTCATATATTTTATTCACTTTTACTATGAATGATAAAGATTTGTTGGTGATGATAAAAATGATAGCAACAGAATTAAGGATAGCATTGTTTTAAAAATTAAACCTAAAAAACACCTAATTTGAATCTTTTTATGTATTTGGAGAAAATATGTATCTTAATTTGGTTCCACTGAAAGCAGAGCCTCAGACAAGGATGTGAGAGCATGTAGCTTAATTGGAAGGTCAGCCCAATAACCAGAAGTGAGGGAGTGGGGAGAGGCAGGGAAGTAAAAAATGCAAATATAAGAGCTTATTATTGAGTTTGCGTCTGTCATGACTCAATTTTTCTGGGACCTCTGGGAAGCATACAGAATGCCTTCCAACACTATTTACTGGAAGAAGAGGAACTGACAGCTCTTACTTCCCATTGTTTAAGGGTTGTCCCCAAAGGCAACACACACCCCACCCTTAAAGACCCCATACTTCTCAGCAGTGCTCACTTCAGGCCACAGCTCAGTGAAAGCCCAGAGGATAAAAGCTGAAAGATGCACACCATGTGCTTGAGGCAGATGTCACCATTCTGAGAGAAGTCACAAGGAACCACACAATGCAAATGCAACTTCAATCACAGGTAGCTGGGGGATGTGACAAGGGAGACGAATAAGAATTAAGAATAATTCTGCAATAAGAATTAAGTTATTTTTCAAAAACACTTTTTTACAAGCTTTGCTGTTGTTAAAATTTTAAATTCAGTCTTGGATCAAAAAGTGATTAAGCAATGATATCCTTGACTATATTTATGTTGGAGAGGAAGGGATTAGCTATTCTTGCCCCTGAGCATAGACTGGTGGTCTTAATTATTAGAAACTCTTTGGTCTTCTTTGATAAAGTAGCCCAAATGAAAATGATAATAGGCAGTAAAATGGTCAAAATGTACACAGCAGAGAGAAATTAGAAAAAAATCCAAGATAGCTTGTAAATTGTGACAGATGAGATTATTGATTGGCAATTACTCCCTTCTCTCTCCACACCTATGGTAGACTGTTATATCATTAGCCTGTAATGAATCATACTTTCATATGTTCAATACTCCTGTGTAATGGCTCTGCAACTTGCTTTGGCCAATGGGACATTACCAACCATGATTCAAGCAAAAGCTTGATAAACATTAGCACATTGGGGCATATTCTTTTAGAATTCTATCCCATGAAAGGCAGTCACCATACACCATGCCACAAAGAAACTCAGACAAAACTACTAAATGCAAAACCCTGGAGGAAAAGAAGCTAGCTTAGATTTTCTGGCACTAACTGAAGTCTCCTCTTAAAACAGACATTTAAGTAATTCAGTTATACCATGTGAAGTAGAGCTATCCATAAAATCATGAGAAATAATAAAGCATAGTTGTTTAAGCTACTAAATTCAGGTAGTTTTTTGGTATCAATATATAGCTGACACAGAAATTGGTGCCAGACACAGAATTCTACATAACAAACACCTAAAATACATAGAATTGACCTTGGGGATAGGAAGTGAGCAGAGGCCTGAAGGATGGCAAAGAGACTGTTAGCAGAAGCTTGAAAAGCACTAAAAAAATTGCCATTGAAGGCTCGATAAAGGGGTACCTTTTATTGTTGGAAAGGTAAATGAAATTGTTGCCTGTGATAACTTTGAAGACAAAAAATGTACTTAAGGAACTTGAGGCTATTTCTTTGTAGAATGTTGAACATGTCAGTTGACTCTCCTGATAAAGTAGTGCAAGAGAGATGAACTATAGATAGAATTGGTCAATTTCCAAGCAGAATTTAGAAAGGATATTTCCAACCCAAAACTTGATGGGTGGGAAAATGAAACTCCTTCTTAGTTTCAGTCTCTCCAGATAGCAAAAAATTCTCAAGTAAGAAATGATCTCAAGGCAAAGATAAAATCCAGAGTGCTACCACAAAACATGACTTTGGGGTCAAGATCAAATAAAAGATGAACGTGTAATACCCTTTGTTAAGACCTTAAAAGATTTAAGGAAGTGCTTTATAGACCCTATCAGCTAGATAAAAATGACTTCTAAGAATTCTCAGGGCATTGTTCTACAGCAGGCAGCCTCAAGTAGAGAGGAATTGGTCTTAAAGAGATTTATGAATGTGTTTTTTTTTCTAAATGGAGTAAATTATAGTTTGATATATAGAAAACCCATACTTTTTTTAAAGGAGTTGAATCAACTTGAGGCAAAAACAGTTCAAGATTAAAAGATGTCCCTGGGCCCTCACCTTTGCAGGCAGGAAACAGGCTGGGAAATTTACTCAGCTGCAAACATATGCCATTTCTTGGAAAAAAGAAGGATGAGTCATAGAGCAAAGCCAAGAGCTGAATGGGTAAAGCTAAGAGTCAAGAGTGTGCAGATATGAGCCATGGATTGAAGACCCCGTCCCAAAAAGCAAAATTGGACCCTAGTCAAGGAAAAATCCCTGAACCCAGAACAAGGGGAATTGAGGGCATGTGCCCAGAAGGATTACAAAATGGACAGTAATTATTATGTGCTTTCAATTCCTCCCCCTTTTAAATAGGAGCCTCTATTGTGTTTATCCTGTCCCTGTTTCACCATTGAATATTGGGTGTGTGTGGAACAGATAGCCTGTCTTAGCTTACAAGTCTTTGCTACCCAAGAAGCCATGCCTGAGGAATAACATCCAAGGAGCTACATATGAGGAACCATAGCAAAATACCTCATTATACCTGTACCTGGTTTAAATGAAGAAGTTCAGAAGTTCAAGCCTGAGTTTGATGCCAAAATGGGATTAGGATTTAGGAGTCTTAGAAGTTGAGTTTTACAAGTGGAAGGGATGTGAATCATTAGGGGCCAGACACCATTACACTGGTGGTCCCCTATAAACCACAACTGCATTTCTTCTCCGTTTCTTCATGCACCTGTAAAATCCTCTACCATACTGACCCTCATCTTGGCCATGTGACCTACTCTGGCCAATGGGACATTACCAAGTGTGATGCAAGCAGAAATTTGATAGGCACTTGTACTTTGCTGCTTGTGACCTTAAAACACTTCCTCTTGGAAGAAGTTCAGGCTAAGTTATGAGAACCATGAATATGAGAACCATGTGGTGAGAGGCTCTGTTAAGATGAGAGACCATCTTAGACGATTTAGTCCTAGTGAGCTCACAGCTAAATGTAGCCATATACATGATTGCAGCTATACAACATGGAGCAGCAAAACTACCCAACTGAGCCCAGTCAACACAGGATTGTAAGCAATAAGTCACCATGGCTTGTTATACACCACTGGATAATTGAAGCACCATCTCCATGAGAGAACTATGCTTTCCCACCTCATCAGTCTTCAACTTGGCCCTGTGTCTTGCATCTTTATATTTCTATGCCTACCATGGTCTTGCTGGACCAACTTAATGTGTGTAGAGATGACAGTGCTAGTTCTAGCATAGGCTTTAAGGGGCCTCCTGTATTTCTATTCATCCCTATAACAGCTTCTGACTTTTGCCACGAGAAGAACATTTTACAGGTTAGCTACTGACTTTCCAGCTTTGGCTCCAGACCAGGGCTAGGACTATACTAAGACAAGTAACCTGTCTAGGGATTAAAATTTAAGGTACGAGAAGGTGGCTGTCTGCAAGTCAGGAAGAGAGGTCTTACCAGAAACTGAATTTTCTCGTATCTGATGTGGAACTTCTTGCCTCAAGATCTAGAACTGTGAGAAAAAAAAAACAAAAAAACTTTTGTATAAGCTAGTCTGTGGTATTTTGTTATGGCGACCCTAATCAACTAATACACATACCTAGCATGACACTTAACACACACAAAGTTTGTTAAATAAGAACTTGCCACCTTTCTTCTCAGCATGAAGTATACCTTATCTTTAAGTAATATTTATAAGATTCCAAAATCCCTCATGCAAAGAAAAAGTACCTGCCCACTAGTCATATAATGAAAATTATATCCCTTAAAGGACTCATTTAAATTTGTATTTGGGTTTTGAACTGTCGCCTTTTTCTGAACCAAACTTCTAGGGATACAACCTAACTTTACATTACCTTTCTGTAAACCTTACCACCTAACCTTTTCCTCCAGCATGTTGGTCTTTGCGATTTACTTAGTAGATTCAAATATGGCTGTTTAACCTTCAAGATTTTCCTAAGAATTTAATCATTATTAAGAAAAGGAATACGATTGTTCAAATGGTAGAGCTGATGTGGTATAGAGGAAAATGGTTTGCATTAGGAACTCAGCCACCATATTGAGAATACTCTCTCTTCAATCTCGGGTAAAGCAATGAAATTCTATTTTCCATGATTTTCTCAACTGTCAAAGTGAAATGTTGAACTAGTGATTCCTGAAGCCATTTCTTGCTCTAAGGTTTTATGATATTATAACTCTTAAGTCCTAGGACATACAGTTGCCTGATTATTTGGTTTATAAAACACACTGTCATGTTATTTGTTAATGCTTTGGCCTAATCCTAGAGTGTAACACATGATTTTTTTTTTTTTTACTGTAAATATACAATGTTCATTTAAAATAAATCTACGAATTAAGTGTAATTTTTCTTAGAGTTTTTGAACATGAGAAAAACGTACATCAGTGCTACATAATTAAGTACCATTTATTTTTTGCACTGTTTAAGCAAGCTACAGATATTCAATTGCCATTGAAATATTTCTGTAAACCATGCAACCTTTTACACAAAAGATAATTATGAAATAGCTAACATTCATTTGACCACAACCAATAAATAATTTATGAACTGGGTGTTTGAAATTATGCAAATATTCTAAATACTTTTTGTTGCCTGTACATCTGAGTAAGTATGATTCGGAAGAAAGTGTGCAATGGATTAATAGATTCAACATTGAAGAGATTTGCATTTCTACAGAGTTCTTTTCTTTGCTGGCTTCTACTATCTTTAGTATCATGGCTCAGAAAACAAGCTTGACAATACTGTCTCTAAATGTATTTGAATATCCTGGCATCCCTATTCATCAGCCTCTTTGATGCTTTAAATGTCTTTTGCTTTTTTTCCAGAACTCTTTATGAAAGCAGAGAGATATGCTTTTAGTAGAGTATCCAACTATCTTATAATACACACTAAATGGAGGAAGAAATGGGTGTCTTTAAATATTTGATATATCTGTGATAGCCCATAACAGAGTTCTGTCAGAGTAAGTTGCAGAATGGGCTCATTACTGCAAGTACATGGCATACGAGGTGTCACACACAACATCACAGCAATGACCAGGAACTGCCAACTTCATAAACTCCCTTCGTAAAATGGAAAGTTTACTGACACCTGTAAACTGGTGGACAAACCCTGTTAACGGCTACACGTATATTGCCTTTGGTATTGCCTTCTTATACAGTCAAGTATAAGAAGATTTTATCACATATAATAGTATATCATCCAAAAATATTTCTTAGAAACTACTAAGAAGTCTGGAGGTCATTTATTTTCATTTCTTTCCACACCCCGGGGGTGGAGAGTAGGTGGCATTTCTGTCAATAAATATATTTAGAAGTCCTCAGTTTAGTAACTCCAGTCGATATAACCATACTAAGACACAATATTTTTATGGCTAATAAATGTATTATTGTTTCATCCAACAGCTTTCTTTACCCAAATGCCCCTTGGTCTCTGACCAAATTTCATCACACAAGGTAATACATGTATTGATAGACTGGTACTTCCCATTGTTTCATAAACTCAATGAGTCTGTAAAGAATAAGAGGGGGGAATTGCACAGAGTTAAGGATTGGTATAGACACTTGAGTATTGTTTATTCTGAAAACCTTTTTCCTGTAATACACAATTGCATAAGAGCTAACATTTTGCATATATCTGAAAAAGAAAATTCACATCATGTAAGTTTATATCTCCACTAATAGCGACACTTATTTTCTCTGAAAGAAATAATTTTACTTAATCCTACTCAGTCTTCCACAATCACAAAAGTTCCTAAAGCAACCATCAGGTTTAACTATTAATCCAAACACAGGATTTTCTTTAGTATCTCATTACTTACTGCCCTGCTTGCATCCTCACACATCTTCCTCTCAATCCAATCAACATTTACCTCCTTTTTTAAGTGTTTATTTTTGTGTTTTTCTACTCTGAACACCCAAACCCACAAACTGACAACTTGAACTCACTTTCCTTGGCACTGCTGTATGAATAAAACTTGCTTTATATTTATTTAAATGTGCTGTGCCTTTTGTCCCATGACTGCACAGCACAGAATCGCCCAGCCCACCTACCCCACTCTCCCAAAAAAGGAAGGTGGCAATGTTTTCTTAAATTATCCATAAATAGTGAAGTACGAGAACACATCAAAAGCTATGCACCTTGGGGACTGCTTACTCTGTTCTACATAGAATTCAGCTGAGTTAACTTTAAAACATTCCTTTTCATTTAAGTACTCCCTTAAAACAGCGTAAAGGATAGAGCACTATATAAGCTGCTTACAATTTCTACTGCACTTTTTATCAGGAAAGCTATCTATCCCAGATTTCTTCTCTTCAGAAAAATTTTAATGATCCAAGGTCACACCTCTTAAAAAGAATGAGGTCTAGTTTTACATAAGAAGGTCCAACTTGTAGGGTTTTATTTTCTTTTTATGCTCAGACCTCACAAACCGAGGACCACAATCTTCAAATAGCATTCCTTGTTAAAACTGAACTCAGCAAAGAAGGTTATTCTACCTCAGAATTTTAAATAAAGCTTCTACAACAAAGTTCAGTGTTCCAAAGCTTTAAATAAATCTGAATTAAAGCAGCACTCCAACACTGAAGTGTTCAAATCAGATTGCTAATCCCTTACTCTTGAAACAAGGCCTAGTGTTTTGGGAAGAATAGTGCAGACCTGATATTGCTTCTCAAAGAGGTAGGGGCCTCAGAATATTTGCATCACAATCACCTGCGGTGTTTACTGAAAACACATTCCTGGGCCCTTCCATCTCCAACTAAATCAGAATCCTTGCACACAGGGCCCCTTCAAACCCACATCTCTGACACGTTCCCCAGGTGATACCTGCACACACTACAGTCTGAGAACCACTGCTGGGGATTTATCATTGTTGCTGAAGAAGTCCAGCTGGCATCTTAACCTGTTAAATTCTTCCATTTTAGGAGACTCGGTGCTTTTAGGTCGAACCTCACTGCCACCACTTTGAGGCGTGGATTATGCTAGGAAGATTAAGGTCCCTTCGGATATTCAGAACTTTTGTCTCCCTGCTGTCAGCAACCAAGGAAGCTGGCAAACGCTGGTCCCTCACAGTAACATTTAGTGCCGGTCAACACACCGTATGGGCTAGCATCTGAGCCCAGAAATAGGAAAGGCGAGTATAAATAGATTTGAATTGGGGTTGGACGAGGATTTGGCAGGCAAAAAATGACTGTGTGTTGATGGGGTGGGAACGGAGAGCTGCCAATTCAGGGATCCGTGGTCGAGGAGCTTCCTGACCCCCATCCACCCCAGAAGTTCCTGTGAGCTTTCTGGACTGCACGCCTCTGGCTATAATTAGGGGGGTGCTGCTTTCCCTGGCTTCTTCCATATGCATGTTAGTTGTGTTTGGCATTCAGCAGCAGTGTTTGAAGAGCGTCTGGCCCCCACCAGCATTTAGTTGAGCCAGTCAGTGGAAAAAATGACAATGGTATCTGGCATAGAATTCAGGTGTTAAAATACCTTTATTAAAATAGAGGAAATAGCACCTATTAGGAAGTAACCCTGAGCTACCAAATTTTATTAGACTGGGAGGAGGTGTCCCCCACCTCCTATAAAGCATACTGTAAATTCCCTTATTACTTCCATGGTATTTAACTACAGAAATGGGTGCATACCCTAATTTCAGATTTTCAGTGCAAAACGTACTGCAACTCACTTTGTGTAGTATCAGGGAATACCGAGCTGAGGTGTGGCACATTTCAACAAAACTTTTTGTACATATTTAGCTAAAAAAGAAAATTTGATGGGGTAGGAAATAGAGTCAACACACTCTTGGCAATTTCCCACTAGCAGTGAAGGAGGTAAAAGTCAAAAATAAAGCCTGTGGGATAAGTCTGAATATGGCATCCAAGCTTAAAAGAAATGCCACTTCTCTTTTTCATCCTGAGATGGGAGAGGAGGCTTGACAGAAGTGAGTGAAACCTCACTCCATAATATTCGTCTGAACCAGCCCTGATTGTCAGTAGTGAGCATGCTGAGCTGTGGATGAAGTGGGCCATGTCCGCCCTCCGCAACTCTACAAAACCGCTTTAAAGTCAGCACGAGGTGCCGGCTTCCCCCTCTCTCAATGAAAAGCATACTTCTTGATTTAAAATGTATGTTTCTACTTTATTCCAAAACAAGAGAGCATTATTTTCAGGATGATCATAGAAACCAAGTTAAATATGTTTCTTATTTCAAGAGATAAAAAAGCATCATAAGTCGGTGAAGAAACATTTCAGTGCTGGAAGTTGGTTTAATGTAGCACTACTATGCACGTAATTTATTTTGAAACACAGTGATGCATGAAAATTTTCAGCCTTTTTGACAGAATGAGATTACACATCCACCCCCCTCTATGCTTTAAAGGAAGAAAACCTTGACTTAGCCTGCCAATGTTATAGATAATAATCTGCGTGTGTCTGCATTGTAATACCCCTCGTGCTATATCCACTTTCAGAGATAGTAATTCCAGGGATAATTTCATTCACAAAGGG